ATGAGAAGTTTGTGGGTAACTAAAATTCTTGTATATGCTACACAAATCACAAGCCATTACTGACTGGAGTGGCAAGAGTTTTTTTAAATAAATTATATATACCAATGATATTAGAATTTTACCCATTCTAGAGGAGCTGTGGATTTCATTCCCAGTAATGATTATATGATTTAAAGGGCAAGTAATGCTTGAAGTCTCAAGCAAGTTTTTCTTTCTTGCTCTAATAAAACTCCTGATAAAAATGTGTCTAAAATGTTAGAATTGACAATGAATACAGATAGAGAACTTACAGGACTAGAGAAAACTGAATTATATTACATAACTCCAGACTTTGGAGTATTTTAAAAATTCTTGCAGAGGAGGTGATCTATCTGAACACAAAGGTTAATATAGTGGCTGAACACATTAGGAATATATTTCTTTTGTTGAACAACAGGATGGTCTACATATTTACAAGGAGTGCAGCCCCCTACTTGATTTTCACAAAAGCTTCATCTTAAAAAACTTATTTACCTTAGTAGATGAAATTTTATCACCTGAAGGAATCCTATTATTGAGAATTGGGAAAGATATAATTAGAGAAAAGTATCTATATTAAAAAAATTGAGTATTTAAATAAAAATAGGTTTGGGAAGAGGGGAAATATTTTATGCTCACATTTCGTTGTCAAAGCATAGATCTTTTTTCTTAAAATAAAAAGAACTCTTAGAGATACTTAAGGAGATATATAGCATAGATCTACATTCCTGGGGACAACACTGACAAGGATAAGTTATATTATGTAAAATTCTTTATAATGGAATAAATTATTATTAAAAATTTTAAGGTCTTCCATAGTTTTATGTTGGTTATTTTCTATTTCTTGTTTATTCACAGATGAGATTTATAATCTTAGTATTGCTTAAATAGAGTATATAGCAGAAAGTAATATGCTGCTCCCATTTGAGAGTTAAAGAAGATCCTTCAAAACAGCATATTAGTTCTGAATTTGGAGCTGATAATGTCTTTTCTGTTGTCATTTAAGATTGTGAAATGTGTTAGAGAAGGGAAAACTGGCAGAACATAAAAGTAAATTTAAATACTTATAAGCACAGCATGAGGTAACAGGAAGAGCAGTCAACCAACCTCTGATAAAATTGTATAAGATATAACCTAATGACTTAACATCTCCAGAAACTAGAGCTTCCTGTGTCTTCAAAGAGAAGGCCATGCCAATAAGGAATTCCATAATAGGAAAGAGAGGCTTATTACTAAAATAGATGACTTTAAATTGTCCCTGCCACAATGTGAAGAGCTGTACATACCAGAAAAACTGGCACTTTATAAACATCAATGAAGAGTTTGGGTTGATTTTTTCATTAATGTTCATGTAACATGGCAGATCAAATATATGTTGCAGGCCAATAAAATCTCAAGGTTTTGAAGGTACAAGAAGCACATTATGCAAAAGGTCTTGTATGATATTTTATAATAATATTGCCTAATATTTTGATTTTTATTTTCAGAATGAAATCATACTAATGGTTTCTCAAATATGATATACCCAAACCATTCATTAAGCACCTACTATGTGTCAATTATGGAAGGAACTGGAAATATAAAGACCAACAAGATCCAACAAACTCAAGTGGGGAAATGAGAAAGAGGGGAGGAAAAAATGTGAAATAATAAATGTAATCAAAACATTGAAAGATCTTTAGCTGAGTGTTCTGAGTGTTGGGACTCAGAAAATAATACCCTAGTGCACGGCACTTTGATATACTTGAAATTGTACCAAAGTATGGCTGATAGCTTGGAAGTAAAAGATCTTGGAAGGAGGTAACTGCAGGGAGAGTGTTCCACTGAAGTCCCCTTCTTGACCTCCATAGTAGATCCTGAAGGAGGTGTTCATTTATCTATCCCTTCCCCAGATCTCTCTTCAACCCAGGAAGGGGAGATTTATTCATATTGGATGAAGGAAGTCTGGCATTTACACCTTGTCCAAAGCCTGGACGGACTTTCCCAAAAGTCGTCATCTCTTTTTTCAGGTCTATTCTTCTTCTCTAAAGATCATTTGCTCTTTCTTAAAATTATTTACATCCCCCTTCCCTTTCACCTGTGAAAAGGATATATAAACTTTTAAATCTCATTGGGTTCCTGGGTACTCACTTTCCTGTGAGGACAGAGAGAATGTTCCCTTTGCCTCTGCATGAGCCATGGATAACGTTTTATAAGTAGTACATAAGGAAACATTTTTTCACTATAATTTTTAACTCTGTATATGGCATTTTACATTTAATTTTAAAATATATACTCTCCTATACTTCCAGTAAGTTACTTTTTGAGTCAGCCACTTTTGATTTGTATATCAGTAGTTCCCATAAGTTGTGCTAAGTAATCCACACATATCAATTAGTTTCCCTTGAGAAGAAGTATTGTTTTAAAACTTCTAGTAGGCTACAGTCACATGGAACCTTTTCTGTTTGAAAAACTCAGTATCTTCATTTATAAAACCAAGTTGAATCACCACTTATACAACCTCCCAAACTTGACATGCCAGCCTTATCCTTGCTTACTCCATTTTTTTTTTCTATTTCCTTTCCTCCTATTCATTGGTCATGGATTCTTGTCAGTCCTACTTCAGAAATGTCTCTTTAATCTGTGTGCCCTTTTCATTCTCACTACCCATCTTAGCCCATACTCCTACCATGTTTTCCTGCCTCACTTTCTCTTTCATTCCTCCAGCCCCTGCTGTCAAGTTTTCTTTCTAAAATAATGAAATTGTACAGGTTTTTCTTATGCATTATTTACTTTCTTTGTTCTCTCCAGTATAAACTTCAAACTTCTGAGCACAAACACTAGGTCTTTACTTTGGCTCCACTCTGGCTTGCCAGTGTGCTGCATCCCCTTGCCACATTCATAATAATATATATACTCTCATTCACCAGAGAAATTAAAATCATTTTCTTCAGAATTTCCCTACTTCTTTTCCAAGCAGTTTCCCAAATATCCAGAAGCTTGGTTGATTCCCAATTTAGGAATTGAGGTCTTCTGGAGTTGACAACACACTTTCATTCTGAGCACTCCCATAGTCCTTGTCTTTGAAGTTCCTGTCTATGAATCTGTCCTTATCACTTTGCTGTGTAATTTATCAGCTTACATGTCTGCTTCACCTCATTTAAGCCTTAGCCTATTAACTCAGAAATCTCAATTCCAATCTAAGGCTTTTTACTGTATACAGTATACTACACAGAAATACCCATTAAACCCAGATGAATAAAACTATGGTGCTGGTCTCACAGAAGAATAATGATATGACAATATTACTGTTAATAAATAATACCAATAGAAAACACTTATAATACAATGTGATAGACACTAAGTGTTTTACATATATTAGCTCATTTAATACCCATGCCAATAGGTACTATATTACCTACACTTATAGATGAAAAAATGGAAATGCAGTGAAATTCAATCTTTTGCCTAAAGATGGTCTAACATTCTCTAAATTTCCATAAAAGATGTTAGTTGGTTTAAATACATACATATATATATATATATATATATATATATATATATATGAAACGTTCTTGTGTTAAATCCTTTGTAACTCCTGGGTTACATAGAGCTAAATAAGTGGGGGGTTTTTGTTTGCTTATTATTTTTTTTTTATTAAACAACTTTTTGGATCTGTTACTCTATCAACAATCATTGTGATGATATGAATCTCAACTAGAGGTATATATGCCTTCATTCTCAGGCTACAGAACCTTTTGGTGGCCAAGCATCTTGTGGAACTAGTGATCTGTCAAACACACTTAGAGAAACACTGATGAAGGTTTACTTAAGTAAAATCTGTTACCAGCTAAGGCTTGTGTTGCTTCTTTTTCTTGCCTCCCCCTATGTGGAGATAGGTCATAACTTCTGTGGCCCTGCTCAAGGCTCATGGTAAATAAATGAATTGTATAGGACAAAAATCAATTTATTTTTTAAAATTTATTTTTTTCTGTAAATTTTTAGATTCTTTGGTTATAAATTAAGAAATACATATTCTTTACAATGTTTTTTTTTACTGGTATCTAGTTTGTTCTTAAATTATATTGTTAATGTTTATACTCTGATACTAGAAAACTTCAGCAATTTTCTATATCCAGTTGAGAAACATAGAATGAGCTTCAAATGAGCTTCTGTGTATTTCTAAAGGCAGCAAGCAGGGTGTGCACAGTTAGGAATACAGATACCTGGGTTTATAACAGTCATGTGAGAGGTCTTACTATTTGCCTCAGTTTCCTTATGAATATATGAAGGATATTTGAATAGCAGTCTCTCAAGTATCATCTAATTCTAAAATCCAAATATACACAAATTACCCATCTATATTCATTGAAGCACAGGACAAAAAATATTAACTAAATATCTAAACTACATTGGTGGGATTTTCTCTCCCATTATTATGAAGAAACTTGTGCGAATGAAATTAAATATAAATAGTAGATTGTGGAAAGCATCATCAAACTACGTGAAGAACGGGGGGAAAGGAATAAAATTTTTACTGCCTCCTTGCTATAGACAATTTTTTGAGGCTGGAGAAATGGCAGATTCTTATAGTCTGGTGTACAGGAACTATATGAATAAAACATGGTTGTGCAAATGAACTCACAACCTTATTCCAAAGCACCATTCGGGAATAATACATTTAATGTCTCATCAACTTCCCCAGAAAAGTGAGAGTAAACCTATGCACACAGACAAAACAACCATAACAGAAACCAAGGTAGAAATAAATCTGCTATGGGGAACAGATTTGATCGACATTTGAAGGTTTTCAAAACTCTAAGTAATATGCTAGTCACTTAAAAATATTCCCACATTTCTGCTTTCTCCAATCATTCTATGCCTTAAGATTCATCTGTCAATTTTGACGCATCTTTTTAAGTCCCCCTCCAAGCCTAAAAATCCAGACCACAGAAGAGCCCTCTTTGCTTTGAAACGATCTCATCAATCCATAGATCATTTACCTGCAAGGATTATTTGGTGAAGTTAAAGCGGCACATCAACCAGCAGCATCTGAGGGCTGAGGCGGCGGAACGTCAACAACAAATTGTCATTGGCATTCCACTTATGAACCTTCAAACGGCATCAGATCTTTTCCATGGGAAACCAGATCAGGTCAGACTAGAGCTGAATATTTCTTAACAAGCTAACCATCAAAAGAATTTACGTTTTGAATAAAAAGGCTATCATTTGTTGATTTGAATATCAAAGGGATCCACTGCAAACTCCCAGTCTAGAAAAACCTCCCTAAGCTACACTAGACAGGTGTTTAATAATCTATTATTAAGGCACTATTTTAGGTTACTCGGAATTATAAAAAATAGCTGTAACTGTGAAGCTGCAAATGGGACTGCACAAAGAAACGAATGCTATTAACATACTATTAACAATTCAAAAGAATGAGTTGACATACCAATCAAACTTGTTAATTGACTGTCAATGGCCTGTCCCTGAATATACAACATGACTGCATTATAGATTTCAAATGCTGACAGGAAGACAGTTCCATTTGCATTAACTTCATAAACTGATCAACAACCAAACTGCCACATACATTTATAATGGGAAGCTGAATCATTTCAATATTCATGGAGCTCTGTAATTGTAAATTAGGTACTGGCAAACAATACAATACTGTACATACTCTAAAATATCCTAAATTTCATTGACCTACTTTCATTCTGATTTTAAAAACAGAAAAAAAGTTTCATCTTGAAGTGATCATTACTTTAATTTATGGCTTGTGCCTTAAGCAGAATTTGTTTGCAACCCAATTTGCAACTATGGTTTACAGTTGCACGTTAGCAGCATTGCTGGTTTGGAAAATATGATGTAAAAAAAAAAGTGGTGCAAAACTGATTTTGACTTTCTTGAGGTTTTTGAAAACAGAGAAACACAAAACAAGATAGTATCATATTTCCTCAGTAGACAGTTGAAGATTCATTTTGACAAGATATTTAACAAAGAATCATTAACATAATGAAAACAAGGTTATATATTAGTCCTGCACTGGAGCATTCTTAAGTCTCCTCAAATAGACCTGCTATTTTGAAACCAGACTTTAAAATCTTTAATCATCCATCAGTTTGGGGATCAATAGAGTAAAAGAGAAGACAAATGAGGGCTAAAGACTATTCCTAACCAAAGGCTTCATGATAAATGGTCTGAAATTCAGTAGTGATCAACATAGAGCTATTCCTTTCAAATACTTCTATGACCTCTCCAAGAATTTACACAGATTTTAAAAAGCTGTTTCCCCAGAGGTAAATGTCATATTAGTTTCCAATATTTGTCTCTGATCATAGACATAACACCCCCTCCCTCTTCCCCAGACACTAGAAGTTGCTCAAACTTTAAGGAGCAATCCTGGAAAATTCAAACGTGTCCTCAGGACTTTGGTTGTGTGAGTTTACTCTCAGTATCTTTAGTAAATAAAGGTTGCATTAAATTTATTTTTTGTTGACTTTGCAAATAACTTCTTCTAAATAATTAATCAAATGTGTTTACTGGGGAATGGGAAGGCTACACCTAAATAATTTTAATGTTTTCCTTAGAAGATTACTCATTCTATCAATTAGAATTTTTTTCCTTTGTCTGACTAAGCAGTAATATGTACCCCATAAAGGTAAGTAACACACGTTTTATACACATATCTAAACTTGCTTATATGCATAAATATATAAATTATATAATGTAAATAAAATATAGACATTCTTCAATATCCATGGGAGATCATTTCCAGGAAACCTGTAGATACCAAAATTCACTGATGTTCATATTCTTTATGCAAAATGTTATGGTATTTATGTGTACATTCTTGTGTACTTTAAATCATCTCCAGATTACTTAAAAAACCTAAGAAAGTAAGTGCTATGTAAATAATTGTCATACTGTATTGTTTAGAGAATAATGACAAGAATAATAACTCTGTACATGTTCAGTACACATTTTTTTCCAAATATTTTCTATCCGGTTGACTGAATGGATATGGAACCCACAGATATGGAGGGCTGACTATATATATTGTATATTCACATACAAAACCATATCCACATAACATGTATCTCTTTATAAACTTTTAATTTTAGAATACTTTTTAGATTTTTTAGAAATATTACAATGATAGTAGCGAGTTCCTGTATTACCAAAATCCAGTTTCTGGTCTTGTTAACATCTTATATTACCCTGATATGTTTTCTACAATTAATGAACCAATATTGATATGCACTATTATTAGTTGAAATACACACAAATATCTTATATTCTTAGCTTTACTTCAGTTTCTTTTTCTGTTTCAAGATCCCATTTAGTTAGTGTGTTACGTTTAGTGCATTTGGTTACATTTGGTTTCTTAGGCTCTTTTGATCATGATATTTTCTCAGATTTCCCTGATTCTTCATGACCCTAACAATTTTGAGTATACTGGTCAAGAGTTTTATAGATTGGTCTTTGATTTGGATTTTCTGATGCTTTTCTCATGATTAAATCATGGTTATGCATTTTTTGGAAGAAGACTGCAGAGATAAAGTGCCAGTCTCCTAAGTGGTACATTTTTATCTTTGAAGGTTTTCAAGATAACCTGTCTACTTAAAGAATAATATTTTGTCTGTTTATAAATAAAAGGCAATTTATTTTAATTATCAGCAATAATCTATGAAAAAGACTAGCTACATGGACATAACAAAAAGTGCTCCATTACTGGTTAGTATGTAGCAGATGTCAAGGATGTCACTCTAGAATTTGGCCACATCTGCACATAACTACAAGACTAGTAGGCTGGGTCTTCCAGGTCCAATTTACAAAAGAAGGAATCAGGAGGCTGGAGATAAGGGTGGAAGAACATAACTCTGACCAAAGGGGAAATAGAAAAGCGTCAATGAGCAAGTGTATTTATTTATATATGTGGAGGTAGTTGTTTTTGTGTTTGAAATAATGGGGGATGTGGTGGTTTTGACTATATCATTCCTAAAATTTAGGACAAAAATAGGCAAAAAAAAAAAAGCATGAAGGAAAAAAAAGAAGAGTTTGTTAGTAGACATTAGAGGCACTGGTGTCAGCTATTTCAGCACTGATGGAATGGCAGTGATTTGATAGTGACAGGGAAGTGCTAGAGACTTGGAATAAGATTGGGTTTATTAGCATCAAATGTAGTGTCCTTCATACTGGGCACTATATAGCAGAGCAAACCTAGAGAGGAGAAACATAGTAGAAGCTCCATAAATGGGAAAAGGTTTGTGTGTGTGTGTGTGTGTGTGTGTGTGTGTGTGTGTGTG